CACACACACACACACACACACACACACACACACACACACACACACACACACAATCCCCCCCACAACCAAAAGGATTAGCTGGGTTATAGAGATGATGGGCCGGTGGCCAAGAGCACTTGCTGCTCTTGCATTGAACCAGGGTTTGATTTCCAGCGTCAGCATGGCAGTTCACAGCCATCTGTCCCTCTAGTTGCAGAGGATCTGGCGCCCTCTTCTGGCCTCCAGAGGCACCAGGCACAGAGGCAGTGCTCATACATACATGCAAGCAAAATAATCAGACACATCAAAATGAATAAATTTTAAGAAAAGAGTGTTAAAGTAAAATAAAGCATTTGAGATATCTGAACAGGAAACCGGGCTCTAGGATCCCCATATGTTAAAAGGCGGGGCATGTTGGAGGTGGACCCATGAACTCGAAGTGTCTGTCTGTGTCAGGGGAAGGGACTTGGTGTGAAGAGGCAGAAGCACACCTGTGTGTTGATTATTCCCAGAGCAACGGCTACTGAAATAAGGAACACGATGGACATGGTTGGAAAGCAGAGTCTGCAGCTCTTTGCCTTCCTGGTGAAATCCTTCGCAGGCCCAGGATATTTACCAGTACCACACTCAGCAGGTAACCAGGTACCTGGAAACACAGAAGGCGCTGTGGATGGGTGCGACACCTAAGGACCAGACCGACAGGGTGGGCACAGGTCTGACCTTAGAGGAACTGCTTCTTCCTAATCTCAATTCTTCCCTGTCCTCCCTCTCTCCTCCCTGTCCTCCCCTTTCCTGTTCCCTCCCCCTCCCTCTCCCCCTCCCCTCCCCTTCCCTGTCCTCCCCTTCCCTCTCCCTCCTCCCCTTCCCTCTCCCTCCTCCCCTCCCCTCCCCTCCCTTCCCTTCCCCTGTCCCCCCTCCCTCCCCTCCCCTCCCTTTTCTTGGGGAGTATTGTGTGACTTTCCCTGGGAAAGACAATAACAGATGTCTGTTTATCCAAGACAGGACATCAGTGACAGACTAAAGGACAGATTCAGTCCCAGTGGAGTTTAGTGAACTAGTGACTGTTGGGATTACATATTAGAACATGGGTCACTCAGGGCAGGTGCGTCGTCACCGAAGTACCCTAGATGGGGGTGACTCAGCCCACAGGAGCCTGCCAGCTGTGTATTTCCTCAGCGGTTGTTAACTAACTGCCTTTATGACTGAGGGAGGGGTTTTATGGATCTTTTCTCGAAAATCTCTGAGCCCTCCCCACCCCACCCCACCCACCCCGTGTGTTTGTGTGTGTGTGTGTGTGTGTGTGTGTGTACAGATTCATGTTGAGTCCAGAAGTCAGCCTCAGGTGTCATTTCTGTCTTAACTGTTGAGGTCTCTCCAGCTCTCCACCCTGGTTAGTTAGTTAGTTAGTTAATTAGTTAGTTTGTTTTTGAGACAGAATCTCTCGGTGAAGCCTGGGGCTTTCTGATCAGGCTGGCCAGCAAGCTCCAGTAATCTGCCTCTACCTCCTCAGCACTAAGACTACAAGCATGTGCCATCATGCCTGGCTTTTTTGTACACTCGCTGGCACTCAGACTCAGTGTCCAAGCCTGTACAGCACCTTACTGATGGAGCTGTTCCCCCAGCTCTCTGAGTTTCCTAGTCTCCTTGGCTGCTTATAATCCTCCCTCCTCTCTCTAGGAGGGAAGGTTTCAATTCGGAGGAAACAGCTGTACAGCAGTGGTGGTGGGTGAACCCAGGGCCCCACAAAGCTAGGCAAATGCTCTACTAGGCTGTATCCTCTGTCCCCCTTTTCATTTTTATTAAGATAGGGTCTCATTCCATCTCTCAGGCTGGCCTTCAACTTGTAATGCTCCTGCCTCAACCTCTCAAACAGCAAGGATCATGGACTTGTGCCAACATGCTCAGCTCCAACACAATTTCTAGAAAAAATTCTTAAGCTTTTATGTGCCTTTTATTCTCAAAAGTGGTTGTGAATCATGAAACCAGTCTCTTTTGCAAATACAAGAGTTTAGCGCATGGCTGACGAACATATTTACTGTCTTGGTCTGTCACCTGGCTGACGAACATATTTACTGTCTGGCAGGATTCCACCAAGATTTCTGTATATCCTCAGGTAAATGCAGCTGGGGGAAGAGACTTACTTTTTCTTTCTCTTCTAAATCAGTCCTTCCTTCGTTCTTTCCTCCCTCCCCATTCTCCTCTCTAATGTTCTCAGGGTCTCATGTAGTCCAGGTTGGCCTCTGTCTTAGTTGCTGTGAAGAGACCATGACCAAGGCAGCTCTCAAACAGAAAGTATCTCAGTCAGAGTTCCTATTGCTGCAACGGAACACCATGACCAAAAGCAGTTTGGGGAGGAAAGGGTTCATTTGGCTGACACTTCACATCACTGTTCATCACTGAAGGAAGTCAGGACAGGAACTCAAACAGGGCAGGAACCTAGAAGCAGGAGCTGGTGCAGAAGCCATAGAGGGGTGATGCTTACTGGCTTGCTTCCCATGGCTTGCTCAGCCTGCTTTCGTATAGAACCCAGGGATGGCACCACCCAAGTAGGCTGGGACCTCCCCCATGAATCAATAATTATGAAAATGCCCACCAGGCGGTGGTGGCACATGCCTTTAATCCCAGCACTTGGGAGGCAGAGGCAGGTGGATCTCTGTGAGTTCAAGGCCAGCCAGGTTGGTCTACAGAGTGAGTTCCAGGACAGGATCCAAAGCTACACAGAGAAACCCTGTCTTAAAAACCAAACTAAACCAAACCAAACCAAACCCAAACCCAAACCAAAACCAAAACTACAACAAAACAAAACAAAGACAAAGAAAAAAAGAAAATGCCCTACAGGCTTGCCTACAGTCCGATGTGATGGAGGCATTTTCTCAATTGAGATTCTCTCCTCTGATGGCTCTAGCTTGTGACATAAAACTAGCCAGTGTAGAAAGCATTTGACTGGGACTTACTTACTGTTTCAGAGGATTCATACATAGTCATCATGGTGGCAGGTAGGCATGGCAATGGAACAGCAGCTGAGAGCTTTACATCTGGATCCACAGACAGCAGGCAGAGAGAGAGAGAGAGAGAGAGAGAGAGAGAGAGAGAGAGAGAGAGAGAGAGAGAGAGATTGGCTGCTGGGCTGGTGTGGACTATTGAAGCCTCAAAGCCCACCCCCAGTGACACACCTACCCTAATAAGGCCCCACTTTCTAATTCTTCTCAAATAGATTCACCAACTGGAGACCAAGCATTCATATATATGAGCCTATGGAGACCATTGTCATTCACTGCCACAGCATCTAACTCACTATTGTAGCCTACAATGACTCTGAGTGATGATTCACTTGTCTACCTCCTGAGTACTAGAATTACAGGCATGTGCTATCCACCACACCTGGTTTATGCTCTGCTGGGGATCAAACACAGAGCTTCATGCATGCTAGGCAGGCATTCTACCAATTAAGCTATATCCTAAGCCCTTGTTTTCTTTTTCTTTTAAAATTTAAATATATTGGTGAAGAGATTGCACACAGGATGGAAATAGATGTAGAAATTTTAATATTGGATAAGACAGGATCCAAGACTAGTGTTCTTAAGCCTGAAGCATAAGGTTATTTTACACTTAATAAAGTCACCCTACAGCTGGCGATGTAATTACTGTGCATGATTTCTATTTCAATGGGGGCATTTGGGATGTTTGGAAGGCTAGTGAGCCTTTCCAGGGGTAATGCCTATAAATGGTGCTTTTTGCCCTGTCCCAAATAAACACACAAAAATTTATATAAAATACAAAATGCTCAGTCAATAGCTCAGGCTTGTTATTAGCCAACTCTTACATTTAAATTAACCCATATTTCTATTTATGCTCTGTCACATGGTGGTACCTTTATTAACATGGCATGTTCATCTCTTGCTCCCTCTGCATCTGGCTGGTGACTCCTGACTCCGCCCTTCTCCTTCCCATCATCTTTAGTTTGATCACCCTGCCTATACTTCCTGCCTGACTATTGGCCAATCAGTATTTTATTAAACCCATTCAAGTGACAAATCTTGACAGTGTACAAGAGGGTCATTCCACAACATTTCCCCCTTTTTGTCTTATTAAAAAGGTTTTAACTTCACCATAGTAAGATTATATACAACAAAACAAATATATTATTATTATTATTATTATTATTATTATTATTTGTTTTTCAAGACAGGGTTTCTCTATGTAGCTTTGCACCTTTCCTGGAACTCACTTGGTAGCCCAGGCTGGCCTCAAACTCACAAAGATCCGCCTGTCTCTGCCTCCTGAGTGCTGGGATTAAAGGCATGCGCCACCACTGCCCGGCACAAATATATATTATTAAGTAAGAATTACAGTAACACTATCTAATTGAGGTCCTCGTTGGGTGCCAGATGATGTGTAAATCTAATCTTATCAATAAAAAAATCAGGGTCGCCGGGCAGTGGTGGCGCACGCCTTTAATCCCAGCACTTGGGAGGCAGAGGCAGGCGGATCTCTGTAAGTTCGAGGCCAGCCTGGTCTACCAA